TGTCCCTGTGTCCCCTCTCTGGAACATCCTATCTCTGTCCACCTTGTCTATTCCCCGCAGAATCTTGTATGTCGTTATCATGTCTCCCCTGACCCTTCTGTCCTCCAGTGTCGTCAGTCCGATTTCCCTTAACCTTTCCTCGTACGACATTCCCTTGAGCTCTGGACTAGCTTTTTGCAACCTTTGTACTTCTCTAACTTCTTGACGTGCTTGACCAGGTGTGGTTCCAGACTGGTGCTGCATACTCCAGTAGGGCCTAACATACACAGTGTACAGTGTCTTGAACGATTCCTTAGTTAAGGTATCGGAACGTATTCTCAGTTTTGGCAGCGGCCCGTATGCTGCAGCAGTATTTGGTTGATGTATCCCCCCGTGATGTCTCGGTGTTATGGTCACCCCAAGGTCTTTCCCTGAGTGAGGTCTGTAGTCTTTTTGTCCACCTAGCTTATACTCTGTCTGCGGTCTTCTTTGCCCCTCCCCAATCTTCATAACTTTGCATTTGGCTGGATTGAATTCGAGAAGCCAGTTACTGGACCACATGTCCAGCCTGTCCAAGTCTCTTTGCAGTCCTGCCTCATCCTCGTCCGATTTAATTCTTCTCATCAACTTCACGTCATCTGCGAACAGGGACACTTCAGAGTCTATTCCTTCCATCATGTCGTTCACATATATCAAAAATAGCACTGGTCCTAGAACTGACCCCTGTGGGACCCCGCTCGTAACAGGCGCCCACTGTGAGACCTCTTCACGTACCATGACTCGTTGCTGCCTCCCTGTCAGGTATTCCCTTATCCATTGCAGTGCCCTCCCTTTTACATGCGCCTGATCCTCCACTTCTGCACTAAATCTCTTGTGGGGAACTGTGTCAAAGGCCTTCCTGTAGTCTAGGAAAATGCAATCTACCCACCCCTCTCTCTCGTGTCTTACTTCTGTTACCTTGTCATAAAACTCCAGGAGGTTTGTGATACAGGATTTGCCTTCCATGAACCCATGCTGGTTTTCTTTTTATAATCTTGTTCCTTTCCAGGTGTTCGACCACTCTCCTCCTGATAATCTTCTCCATGACTTTGCACACAATACATGTCAGAGACACGGGTCTGTAGTTTAGTGCCTCGTTTCTGTTTCCTTTCTTAAATATGGGGACTACATTAGCTGTCTTCCATTTCTCAGGTAGTTGCCCATTTCAAGGGATTGGGTTTAAGATTGTGGTTAGAGGCACGCACAGCACTCTGCTCCTTCTCTAAGGACCCATGGGAGATGTTGTCCGGTCCCATCGCCTTTGAGGTGTCAAGGTCACTTAAGAGCTTCTTCACCTCCTCCTCAGTTGTTCGTATGTCATCCAACACTTGTTGGTATTTCCCTCTTGATGTTCCCTTCTGTGCTGTCTTCCCACAGCCCTTCCTGTCCTCTACTGTAAAAACTTCCTTAAATTTCTCCGTTCAGCTCCTCACATACCTCCTGATCATTTCTTGTGAGTTCTCCACCTTCTGTCCTTAATCGATCACCTGGTCTTTTACTGTTTTTCTTCCTCCTGATGTGGCTATACAACAGTTTTCGGGTCAGTCTTGATTCTCGATGCTATGTCATTTCATACTGTCGCTGGGGCCCCCCTCCTTACCTGTGCATACTCATTTCCTGGCCTGCGACTGATCTCCCTATTTTGGGGTTTTCTCTGCCTTCTGTACTTTTTCCAAATTTCTATTTCATTTGTTTTTGCCTCCTTACACCGTCGGGTAAACCAGGGCTCGTTCTGGTTCTTCCCATTGTTACTGTTGCCCTTGGAACAAACTTTTCCACTGCCTCCTTGCATTTTGTTGTTACATATTCCATCATTTCATTTACTGGCTTTCCTGCCCGTTCTCTGTCCCACTGGACCTCCCGCAGGGAAATTCTTCAACCCTATGTAGTCCCCCTCTTTTATAGTCAAAGGGTTTTCCCATTCAACTCCTGTTATTCTCTCCACTTGCAGCTCTACTATGTATTCAAAGCACAGAACCACGTGGTCGCTAGCTCCTAGGGACTCTCATACTTGATGTCCTCAATGTCTGAGCTGCCCAGGGTAACACAAGGTCCAATCTTGCTGGGTTTTTCCTCCCCCTCTCACTCTGGGAGTGTCCTTAACGTGTTGGTGCATGAGATTTTCCAGCACCAAAGTCCAACATCCTGGCTCTCCATGTTTCGGGACCCCGATGTGGCTCCAGGGTTTTCCCAGTCGATCTCCCTGTGGTTGAAAATCCCCCATAACCACAACTTTGCTCTGCTGGAATGAGCTCTTCTTGCCACCTCAGCAAGTGTGTCCACCATTGCTCTGTTGCTCTCTTCATATTCCTCTCTTGGCCTCCTGCAGTTCTGTGGTGGATTATACATCACTGCAATGACCACTTTGTGTTTCCTAGACTGAAGTGTACCTGCTATATAGTCTCTTTCTCCCGTCTCATCTATGCCTTCCATTTTCTCGAATTTCCATCTGTTTTTTACGAGCAGAGCAACCCCACCTTCCCCCCTGCCCCTTCTATCTTTCCTCATGATCTGGTATCCTGGTGGGAAGATTGCATCTGTTATTGTCTCCATGAGTTTTGTTTCTGTAATTGCTATGATGTCTGGGGACTTCTCATTGATTCTTTCTTGCCATTCCTCATGTTTATTCGTTAATCCATCTGCATTTGTGTACCAAACCTTCAACTTCTGTTCTAATACTGTAACTGTGGTGCGGGGGGTGGAAACAGAGGGATCGGTGTGTGATGGTTGGTTTGGATTGTTCAGTTGCCTTAGGGGTGTCGTGTGTGTGTGTGTGTGTGTGTGTGTGTGTGTGTGTGTGTGTGTGTGTGTGTGTGTGTGTGTGTGTGTGTGTGTGTGTGTGTGTGTGACCCAACAATCAATATTTGCGCCAATAACTCATTACAGTTGTGACCGGGTGTGGAAGTGTGAATTGCTCATTACACTATAATTTGTTCATGCTTGTTGCCATGTATAAGCGTAAGTATCCATTCTTACAGAATTCATTACCTTTGTAACTTGTGAGCTCATTACCTTTGTACCTAGTTCAGCTATCAAAACTTTGGGGGCCCAGTCCCTGGACCCATTACGTACCTCTGTAATCTGTAGCTTGTAACTTGTTATGATTGTGACCAGACCTACCTGGAGTTCATTACCTTTGTAAATTGTGAGTTCATTAACTTTGTAAATTGTGAGTTCATTTCCTTTGAAAATTGTGAGTTCATTACCTCTGTAACTTGCTCAGCTATCAAAACTTTGGAGTTCAGTCCCTGGACCAATTATGTACCTCTGTAATCTTTTGACTACCGCCCACAGGATGGGTATGGGGTGCATAATAAACATATTAGACTAAACTAACTATTGAAGTTGAATCTGGCGAAGGCTCCCTCGTGACTGATCATATTTTGCCGGTCTGGGGCTTCCCGCATACATGTCTGGACCTCTATTATGTTGTGATCTGAGTATATTGTTTTAGATGTGATGACATTTCGTATCAGATCATCATTGTTAGTGAAGATGAGGTCCAGCGTATTCTCCAATCTTGTTGGCTCTATTATTTGCTGGTTTAAGGTGAATTTGGTACAGAGATTTAAAAGCTCGTATGTGTGCTAGTTTTCATCTGAGCTGCCTCCTGGTGTTATCTCTGCTACAACATTATTTGCTATATTCCTCCATTTTAGGTGCCTTAGGTTGAAATCCTTCATGAGCAAGATGTTGAGGGCAGGGGCTGGAAGATTTTCCAGACAATGGTCAATTTTCAAAAGCTGTTCTGGAATTGTTGGGACGTTGCATCCGGAGGCTTGTATACAACCACAATGACCAGGTTTTGGTTCTCGATCTTTACTGCTAAAACTTCAGCTACATAATTTGAGGCATTTAGTAGTTCTGAACATATAAGTGACTGTGAAATACTGTCACATCTGTATAGGTTGTAGCCCGGGATCCATATTTCGTTGTTCGTGAAAGCCGCGAACATTGCATTTGACTCCGTAAGGAGTCCACGGATGGAAGGTATTTTGTTATTTGTTGCTGGCTTTAGACCCTGTATATTTGCACCCCTCAAGGAAGGTTCCTTGATGTTGGTGAGGGGCTCTTGATTTAGGGAATTAGATCTGTGCTCCAGTTCCCCGAATTAAGCCTGAATGCCTTCCACATCCCCCCCCCAGGCGCTGTATAATCCTCCGGGTTTAGCGCTTCCCCCTTGATTATAATAATAATAATGTATATTTGCAAAGATGACTCACGAAATCGTAATGACACGATTGCAAACAAACCATACCACGGACGGGGATAGAACCCGCGATCAGAGAGTCTTAAAACTCCAGACCGTCGCGTCTGGAGTTTTGAGACTGATCGTGGGCTCTATCCCCGCCCGTGGTATGGTTTATTTGCAAAGATAAATGTCGTCGGATTGGTGGTATGAGGGGGGGAGGTCTTTCTTTTCTTCCTGGATTTGTACAGCTAATTCACAAGTCTTGGCCTCAGTAGGTTTCCAATGATTAGGAACAAAGTCTTTACTAAATAAAATAAAATATACCCTATCTCTTTTAGTCCAGCTTTAAAACACACTGTATTGCTCAGGAAACCCATCCTGCAAGTGACACAGGAACAAACCAGGTCACTGCAGGTAGGAACCTGACAATCACAGTACAGTATTGTATCCTCAAATGGTTTGGCCCCACCTTGGCACCTGTGTTGATTACTATCAGTACCAGATGATGAACCAGTTTGGTGGAGTGACCAAGACCACGAGACATGGAAGACTTCTCGTAACTTCCCAGGTTTTATTGTTTTTGATCAGGGTCATTTGTCACACCAAATCAAAGACTGTTATGAGTGTGGATATCTGAACCTCCCTCCTGTATCACAAAGATACAGCATGATCTCTGGTCCTACATGAAGTTTATGGGCAGACAGATTAGACATGATAGCTCAATCAAATATGCTTTCCAGATACCAGTAGCTGACATTAAAACACTCCACACTAAAATAAATGATAGCATCGGAGAAGGCACACTGGATGTGTTGGCCAATATGTGGAATGGACTTTAGTATCAATTAGATGTATTTTGGGCCACTAAAGGTGCACAAGTTTAGGTTGCATACATCAGATTAGTAAGTAAGTAAGTTTATTCAGGTATACAGAAATACAGTTACATAGAATTATCATACATAGCAGCATATGTGTAGAGAACCTAGGATAACCCAAAAAAGTCAGAGTGACGTGATGGTGAAAGTGTTTCTTCTTTTTTGGGTCACCCTACCTTGGTGGGAGATGGCCAGTGTGTTAAAAAAATCAGAAAAGGAGTTTGTATTGTATAGGAGTATACAATAGAATATGTTGTGCTGTTGGTTCCAGCAACATCTCCAGCCTACTGAGGCAGGCTGATTGTGATTTGTAAGCCACCATAAATAATGGAGAGTGAAGCTGAACATTCTACCACCTGTAACCTTGACACCTCATACTGTATAACAAAATTTCTTGCGGACTCTCTTTTGCGTTTCCTAATTAGTTAAGATGCAGGTTAACATTTATTTGCATGGTTATGTGCGAGTCAGCTGCTCTCGATGTTTAACAATAAATTAGTCATTGGCTTCATTTATAGTTTGGTTTAATATGTTTATTATGCACCCCATACCCATCCTGTGGGCGGTAGTCAAAAGATTACAGAGGTACATAATTGGTCCAGGGACTGGACCCCAAAGTTTTGATGGATGAACAAGATACAAAGGTAACTAACTCACAAGTTACAAAAGTAATGAATCCTTTAAGTAAGTAAATTTACTTACGTTTATACATGGCTACAATCATGAACAAATTATAGAGTAATGAGCAATTCACACGTCCACACCCGGTCACAACTGTAATGTGTTATTGGTTTATAGGAAGTGTCAAAACTACGGAAGTGTCTCCTGCTGAGGCTCAGGAAAAATAACCAAGGAACAACGTAAACAAAACTGATCCTGCCCTGGTTATCAGGTCACTTTCCTGCCTTGCAGGTCACTGTCTTACCTACCAGGTCACTGCCTCACCTACCAGGTCACTGTCACCTACCAGGTCAGTCTCACCTACCAAGTCACTGTCACCTACCAGGTCACTATCACTACCAGGTCACTAAGTCAGTCACCCACCAGGTCACCGTCTTACCCATCAGATCACTCTTTCCAAGTCACTGTCTCACCCTCCATGTCACTGTCTTACCCACCAGGTCAGTGTCTCGCCCACCAACCGGGCTGTGGTTCGTACGTCAGCTTGCGTGCGGCCAGTAGTAACAGCCTGGTTGATCAGACCCTGATCCACTGTGAGGCCTGATCTCAGACCGAGCCGCAGGGGCGTTGACCCCCTAAACTCTCTAGGTAAACTTCAGGTAAACCATGTCACTGTCTTAGCCACCAAGTCACTGTCTTACCCACCAGGTCACTGCATCACCCACCTTGTTACTGTCTTACCCACCAAGTCACTGTCTCATGTTGCTGTCTTAGCCACCAGGTCACTATCTTAACCACCATGTCACTGTCTTAATCACCAGGTTACTGTCTTAACCACTAGGTCACTGTCTTAAGCACTAGGTTACTATCTAATTCACTCATTAGGTCACTGTCTTAAGCACTAGGTTACTATCTGATTCACTCATTAGGTCACTGTCACCCACCACCCAACTGTTTCATCTTCCAGGTCACTGTCTCACTGACCAGGTCAATGTCTCACCCACCAGGTCAGTGTCTCACCCACTGGGTCAATGTCTCACCCACCAGGTCAGTGTCTCACCCACTGGGTCAATGTCTCACCCACCAGGTCATTGTCTCACCCCTAGGTCATTGTCTCACCCCAAGGTCATTGTCTCACCCTAGGTCATTGTCTCACCTACCAGGTCACTTGTCTCACCCACCAGGTCACTGTCTCACCCACCAGGCCACTGTCTTACCCACAAGTTTCAGTTTAATCTCGCCCATCAGGTCACTGTCCTACTTATCAAGTTATTATCTACTCTCACCCACCAGGCCACTGTCTCACCAATCAAGTCACTGTCTTAACTACCAGGTCACTGTCTCACCCACCAGGTCACTGCTCCTCTCACCAGGTCTGTGGCCCACCCCATCAGGTCACTGCTCCACCCACAAGGCCATTGTCCCACCAGGTCATAATCACACCCACTGTGTCACTACCTCATCCACTAAGTCACTTCCCCATCCACCAAGTAATTGCTGCATCTACCAGGTCACTGTCCCATCCCACCTTGGCCTACCCACTCCACCAGGGCATCATTACTATGTCCCCATGAGATAGACTGAGGGCACCAAATTTCAGTTACCTAGTGAAGTGTTGAATTAGGGAAGATATGATTGAAATGTAGAGACGGAAAACAAAAGTAATATTTGTTTAATTCACGTTAAGTGCTCAACCCGTGTGGATCATTCATGGTGGAGACCTGATTCTCCGCAGGCTGAGCATAAGACAGACGTGCTATATTTGTATTCACCCATATGTGTGGAAAAGAACAAATAAATAACTTGATGAAAGTATCTAACCAAGTCAGGAGTCACAGCAGTGGATTTAAATTGGAGAAATTTACATTTAGAAAGATTATAAATAAATAATTACCGTATATATACTGGTTTATCAGTAAAGTTGTAGGTGAGTGAAACAAACTTCTAGGTAACATTAGTGAGTCAAGCACTCTTGGTACCATTAAATATAGGTTGGATGGGTATATTAATGAGTGGTTGGGTGTGAGTTGGTCATAGCTAGAATGGGCCTGTAGGCCTGCTGCAGTACTTCTCATGCTCTAAGGCTCATCCTGCCATCATTTTTAGGAGTGATAAAATGATACATAGTGTTCTCAGAGTTAATTAATACTGATAAATCTTCCACTCAGTCACTTAACATGTAGATTTCTTTATTACTTTTCTGTCTCTAGTTATACCGTGTGTATCACACAGTTTAAATTATCTAAGATCATACCTTGAACAGGCAGAATATATGATCAAGTATCCAGTTGTCTGTTAAACATTTTTACAAGTTTGCTAAGGCAGCCTGGCTGTCAAATAGTCTCTCCCATACCTAGTTTTACCTGAGCTGAGTATCTCCTTTATTATGTACAGCAGAAGCCATAGTATAACATTAAGAGAAACAGAATTTTAATGACAATAATAAATGCATAAATGTAAAGTTATTTCCTGCATTGTTTTTTCAGCACCAGGGTTTTGCCATTACTGCTTTTCAAATGGCAGATTTTGCATATTATGACTATGACCAAGAATCTGACAGTGCAGAATACGTAGATTATTATGATGAGGTAAGTACTCCTTCACACTGTGATCATTTTGAGTGAAATTAATTTCAATTTTATTACGGTATTTTAATGCAAACTAACTTCATGGTCATTCCTTGAACTAAGACTCTTCATATTTACATCATTATTTTAGGTGTTTTTCTTAATTATAGCCATATTTAAAAATATCATCAGAAATCACTGCATGGTATTCACAGGATATATATGAGTTCCCAGGTGAAGAGCCTTGGGAAGAAGAAGAAGAGGAAGAAGTCACATCCCAGTTTACTTTATCAGAGTTGTATGAGTACTTGCGTTGTTCCAACTCTCTCTGATTCTTACCACCACCTTTACAACTTGTTAGTGTGGTCCCTTATCTTCATGCTCACAACTAGAATTGGTAATTATTTCTCCACCTGTTTTCATAACAATATATTTTTTTAATTGTGTCACATGTAGAATCATCTGTTAAATAATTGTACACCATTGTTAATTTGTTATATACAGTAGTTATAGTTGTTTATGCTATTATAGTACGTATTTACTGTTTATAGATACACAAGTAATTTTATTTATTAGTCTGTTTGTTTTCATTTATCTTTTGTGTCACTACCCACTGCATCTGCAAGCTTGATTTTGTCTCTCTCTCTTTTTTTTTTCTATTTCTTTTTGATATAATCTGTTGTGGTGTATCTAGATGACCTTCACAAAGCTTCCTTGTCTGTCATGGAACATTGCCTAATATTTTTCCATAATTACTCTCTCATATTTCAAATCTTTCTTTATATTTCTGTCCTATCTTGGCTAAGAAAAGCAAATGACTGTAATTTATTGTTAGACATCGAGAGCAGCTGACTCGCACATAACCATGCAAATAAATGTTAACCTGCATCTTAACTAATTAGGAAATGCAAAAGAGAGTCCGCGAGAAATTTTGTTATACAGTATGAGGTGTCAAGGTTACAGGTGGTAGAATGTTCAGCTTCACTCTCCATTATTTATGTTGGCTTACAAATCACAATCAGCCTGCCTCAGTAGGCTGGAGATGTTGCTGGAACCAACAGCACAACATATTCTATTGTATACTCCTATACAATACAAACTCCTTTTCTGATTTTTTTAACACACTGGCCATCTCCCACCAAGGTAGGGTGACCCAAAAAAGAAGAAACACTTTCACCATCACTCACTCCATCGCTATCTAATGTATGCAACCTAAACTTGTGCACCTTTAGTGGCCCAAAATACATCTAATTGATACTAAAGTCCATTCCACATATTGGCCAACACATCCAGTGTGCCTTCTCCGATGCTATCATTTATTTTAGTGTGGAGTGTTTTAATGTCAGCTACTGGTATATGGAAAGCATATTTGATTGAGCTATCATGTCCAATCTATCTGCCCATGAACTTCATGTAGGACCAGAGATCATGCTGTATCTTTGTGATACAGGAGGGAGGTTCAGATATCCACACTCATAACAGTCTTTGATTTGATGTGACAAATGACCCTGATCAAAAACAATAAAACCTGGGAAGTTACGAGAAGTCTTCCATGTCTCGTGGCACCTGTGTTGATTACTGACAGTAATCAACACAGGTGCCAATGTTTATATAGTGGGCCCAAACCATTTGAGGATACAATACTGTACTGTGATTGTCAGGTTCCTACCTGCAATGACCTGGTTTGTTCCTGTGTCACTTGCAGGATGGGTCTCCTGAGCAATACAATGTGTCCTAAAGCTGGACTAAAAGAGATGGGGTATATTTTTTTTTATTTAGTAAAGGCTTTGTTTCTAATCATTGGAAACCTACTAAGGCCAAGGTTTGTGAATTAGCTGCACAAATCCACCATGTTTTTGTGCACTATCATATATTTGGATACCACTTGCTGCAATGAGGGTGCCTAAATTGAGTCTGGTGTATTTTGTTGATGTCAATACACAACACTTGTTTGAACTAACAATGTTGTGATAAATTAAAGAGCTTGTCCTACCAAATACCAAATTGTTGAGTCAAATTCTACTAATGGCAAGCACTGCTGTCTCCATGCCAAGTACTTTTGCTGATGCTTGGGGAATTTAACATCATTGGCTCTGTGAAGGTCAGTGACACAGTACAAGCTGTTATTCATAACTACTATGAACAACCAAATTTTTTAGACCATTTCAATCCAATATAGTGTCTCCAGCTGGAGCTTGCCCTTCTTCGAAAGTGATATGGCTTGTAACCTGCCACTCCTGGCTGGTGGTGTAGATACACAAATAACCTGCACATAGGAGAGAGGAGCTTTCAACGATGTTATGGTTCAGCTTGGACCATTTGCAAAGTCCTATGTGTGGGTTATTTGTGTTCCAGTCATGGTATTGTGCCTTTTTGTTCTTCTTGGTGGCATAGATGTCATTTTTAAGCCATCAGTGGCTGAAAGCTGAAATATTAAAGGATTTATGATATACATAGTACATTGTTGATGAAGTGCCTGTTGCTGGTAGTGAGTTGTAATAATCAAATGTGCCTCTCTGGTGGTTGTCTCACACACCCACTGTCTCAGTATACCTCCTGCACCATATAGTGTCAGGATTTAGAGTGCAAGAGCAGTGCTTCACTATTCAGTCTGTTGTAATGTAAGTAGAATTCATCTCACCCCTCATGTCAAATTAACACTGCCCCAGCTGGAAGATTCTGTCAATAGCTCTGGCATCTGATCATCTCATATTACACCTGCCTTTACATATTGTAGAGCCTACTGTTATGGATATTAGGCCATCACTTGCCTCTCTCTGCCTTGGCAGTCTGCATTTTCCCCTTCATTTTAATCATATACAGTATACTCTTCGTCTCACTCTTCACCTTTGACATGTCTGAACTCAGCTTATTTGCACAAATCTCATCATATTATATCAGCTTTCTTGGTTCTTTATCCCCTCAGGAATCACTATTAATCTCATTATTTTACAAGTATAATGCTCTCAGGGGATTATATTAATGATGGAAACTCTTCGAGAACTTTGTAGAATCCCATGATGCTAGTGCCACTAGTGAATACATGTGTGCAGTATCATCGAACAAGGGAGAGACCTTTCTACCTCAGTAAACATATTGTGTCATGGCTATAATATGCTTTTGAAGTTGTCTGTGATGGTATAGAGGCTTTATGGAAATAAATGTTTTAGGTTTCAATGTAAGTTTTAAGAGGATGAAACCCTATAAAAAGATTGGATATTATATGGCCACTGTTTTAGGGATGCCTCATTGAACCTTGAGTGAGTGAATTATTCTTAGTCACCTTTATACCTTACTTATTTGGTCATTATTCATTATCAGCTATAAAATTTAGATAAACATTTCCCCCCAAATTCCCAAGAATATTTATGAAATTAATGCATATGAAAATCTAGCCAGTGTGATAAAGGGTACCATATCCTGTTACTGTTGCATCAAAGGATAGGATGGTGCTTCCTCCCACATTAAGATCTTCCATTACCTCCCTCACCCTCCCCCACCTTCCTTAAATTTTTGGTTATTGACAGCTCATTCATGGTGACTTGAGGGGCAGGAGCCTAGTTAAAGAGAGAGAGAAAGAGAGAGAAACAAGGTATGACGAAATCATGTGAAGCCACCAAACCACTTCTCTAAGCGTCAGTCCGTGAGTAGTTATTTTTAAATGCTTGGCATAATGATACTACTTACCGACTTGATGGAGTGCTCTTAACATATTTTGCATTTAACTTCCATAATGAAAAACCTCAATGGACTTTCTTAGGTATTGGGCCCTTTGATAATTTGACCAGTTGTTAGTGTACATTTTTAAACTTACTCGGTTCATTCATTCATAGATCAAATTTCATTCATTCACAGATCAAATTTTGCATATACGTATGTATATCTACTGCATTACAATTTTTAAATAACTGTTAAATGTCAAGATAACATGGTACTCTATGTAGTTTTCCTTTGTTTAGATGACTTAATTATATATACAGTGGAACCTCTACTTACGAGTGCATCCATGTGCGAGTTTTTCCAGATATGAGCAGTCACTCAGTTGAATTTTTGCTTCCAGACGCAAGCAAAATTTTCGGATGCGAGTGGGCCTCAAGGGAGGTTCCTTGATGCTGGTGAGGGGCTTATGCTCTTGATCTAGGGAATTGAATCTCGGTTGTTTGTTGGACTATCTTATTGAAACTTGGGGAATGTATGATGGAAAGATGCTTCTTAGTGTACACCAAAAATGAAAGAAATCGGACCATAAATAACGGAGTTCACTTCTCAGCCATTATTCTCCCCTTAGCTGTATATTTTCGTATGGTTTTTATGGTTGTATTCTCGTTTTTTTCGTCTCATTTGATAGAATGGAAGATATACTAAAGAAATAGATATGATGTTAATTGGTTTCATGACGAAAAGTACATTGAAATTGAGCTCAGAGTAGCAGAAATGTTAGATTCTTTGGCGATTTTCAAGAGTAAACAAATGATGTCACTATCCAGTATCTGTCCAATTGGCATTGTCTCAACCTTCACATATTGGAAAGCTCTTCAACACGCTAGCAAAAGTGGGAGCAGACATCATGAGGTAGCAGTGGCAGACAACATGAAGCAGCAGTGACAGACAATATGAAGCAGCAGTGGCAGACAAAATGAAGCAGCAGTGGCAGACATCATGAAGCAGCAGTGGCAGACATCATGAGGTAGCAGTGGCAGACAACATAAAGCAGCAGTGGCAAAATGTAGCATTAAGAGTGTAGCAATTAAGTGTAGCATTAAGAGTGTAGCACTTACAAGTCACTCTGACTTTTTTGGGTTATCCTAGCTTCTCTACACATGTCGTCAGGAGGAGGAATGGCCGCTGTCTGGCCCTATAAACCCCAACAACACCAATGGCCGCTGTCATCACCACTAGCACATACGTAACGACATGTATTTTATTCATTCTAGTGTATATATCATGTTTCTATATTATTAATATTGTTTATGTCATATTACATGAATTGTGATAGTTAAATAAGCTGGAGAGTTGATATTAGGGAAATTATTGAAGCATTTTCTAGTGGCTGGAATTCCACTGGAACGAATTAATTCCACTTCAGTAAATTTAAATGAGGAAAATTGACTCTCCAAATTAGCAAATCCAGATGCGAGCAAGGCCATGGAATAGATTAAACTCATAAGTAGAGGTTCCACTGTATATATATGTGTGTGTGTGTATATATATATATATATATATATATATATATATATATATATATATATATTATATATATATATATATATATATATATATATATATATATATGGTAGTAGGTTGGTAGACAGCAACCACCCAGGGAAGTAACTACCGTCCTGCCAGATGACTGTGAAACAAAAACCTGTAACTGTTTTGCATGATGGTAGGATTGCT